CCACAAGCTAAATTAATGCTGTGGGAACTGCTTTTCAAATCAAAGATCCCCTATTTGACCTTGAGCCATCACTTTAACCTTTTCTGAATCTTAATTTCATACGTAAAAAGGAAATTTAGAAAATGAAAAAGAAAATCTTTACATACTATGGGAACAGATCATCCATTATGTTATGAAATGATTTGGAGAAGATTGTTTTTTTGTTTTTTTGTTTTTTGTTTTTTTTTGGTTTTTCTCCGGTACTGGGAACCGAACTCACGACCTTGCGCTTGCCAGGCAGGCACTTTTGCTGCTGAGCTAAATCCCCAGCCCCTCATTACTCATTTTTATTTGTTTTTATAACGCAGAATTTTACTCTTTTTTTCTACTTTGTGCATAATTCTACCATGCATCACTTATCTTTTTCTATTTTTTCCAGATTTACTAATCAATCTAGTGAAAAATTTAAACATTCTCCAAAAGCCTCACATTACCAAGAAAACTCATTCACCCTAAAAGTTACATATCCTTCTGCAAACTGTCAACAGACATTTAAGCGCCTTTAGGAGCTGGGGCCTGTGTGGCGGTCTGAGATGACAGATGATCACAAAATGTATCACGCCAGGATAAACGTAGCTGCTGTCAACACAAACACAGCGGGAGAGCACAGATGAGGAGAGGAGGAGCTGTCGGGAAGGCTGACGTTCAGGCTGGAAGCTGAGCACAGCAGGGTCAAGCCTGGAGAGGACGGCAAGGGCAGATGCCCAGAGAGCTGGGTGGGGGGCACATCTGCAATCCAAGCCCTTGGGAGGACAAGGCAGGAGGATCACAAGTACAAGCCCAGTTGGGCAACTTGGTGAGACGCAGTTTCAAAATTTTTTTTTTTTTTTTTGGTTTTTCTCCGGTACCGGGAACCGAACTCACGACCTTGCGCTTGCCAGGCAGGCGCTTTTTTTGTCACTGAGCTAAATCCCCAGCCCCCAGTTTCAAAATTTAAAAAGCTGGTGTGTAGCTCAGTGTGAAGGCCGTAAGTTGAATCCCCTGGAGTGGGGAGCAGAGACGGCTGGCAGATCATGGGGGTTTGAGGAACTGAACTTAAACATGGTCAGTGTAGGCGAGGAACAAAACGCAAGACAGGGAGATGAGAGAGCAAGGAATCAATGGGGGAGGACCTGCAGGCCTCCTGAGCCTCACCCAAGTCTGAGGAAGATGGTGGGCACCTCCGAGGGTCCTCAGAAGGAGGCATACAGCACAGATATGCCAGTTAGCACACGTCCTCCAGCAGGAAGGGCTGCAGCCCTGCCTCAAGGTCGGGCAGAGGTCAGAGGAGACAAAATGGAGTGCTCCGGCACCTCCCTCCCCAGCACATCGCACCCTTAGGAATCTCCTGGTTTTGCCCTTGGCCAATCCAAAAATCAATTCTTAAGTTCTCCTCTGGGCTGCAGTGAGGTCCCTGTGGCCCCAGCCCTCACCCCACACTGCTCAGCACACCCTGGAAGGGGCTGGCACACGCCTGTCTCCCCAGGCCTCTGTGTAGCTCTCACTCCCTTGACAGCCTGCAGCTTGCAAAAGGGCTCAAGCAACCTGCAGTTTCCCATGCTCCTCCAGACCTCACTGGGGCCCTATACAAAGGAGAGTCCTGCCCTTGCCCAGAACTGGCAGACTGCTGAGAGTGCCTAGACCAGGCAGTGGTGAACTTTTTCTGCCAACAGCCAGAGAAAGCTGGGCATGGCGGCACACACCTGTGATCCCTGCACTCTGGGAGACTGAGGCAAGAGAATCACAAGGAGATGTGGCTCAGTGGGAAGGCTTTGGGTTCAATCCTCAGTACCCCTCCCCCAAACCTACACAAAGTCAAAAAGTTTAGACCCTGCAGGCCATAGTCTCGGTCACCAGCTGCTCAACTCTAACACTGCAGCATAAAAGAAGAGTACTACTGTGCCGTAAAGGACAAGCTTGAGTCATCTGTAGGAAAATGGACACACCTTGAGGCCCTAACACTGAAGTGAAATAAATCAGACACAGAAGCTTAAATATCACATGGTTTCTCTTATATGAGAAACGCAAAGCATAAATCAAGAGCAAAATAAAAAACAGATAATAGGAATTAGGGAGACAGATGTCCCTCAAGTGGGAAGGGCACCAAGACAGGGGGGAGGGGAAGAGCAGGAAAGAGAACGGGTGTGAGGAATGAGGACGTGTGACGCACACACACCAACTCACACGAGGAATGTAACCATTATGAACTGCACACACCCACTAGTAACAAAAAAGCAGCTGCCGAGAACACACACAGGAACAGGCGGGGCTTTTCTAAAACAATCTTATTTACAAAATTACTTGGAGCTGAGTGTGAGGGTCCATACTCCGGGAGACTGAAGGCAGGAGGACGGCAAGTTTGAGGCAAGCATGGGCAATTTAGCATCACCTTGTTTTAAAATAAGGGCAGGCCTATGATGCAGCTCAGTATGAAGGACCTGGCTTCAATCCCCAGTACAGTGAGAGACAGACAGCTGGACGGAGAGCTTCGGTCTACTCGAGTGAAATGAAACAGCAGGGACGTAGGTGCCATGGTGCAGTGGTTAGCATTCTGGACCCTGAAACAGCAGGGGCACTGTTGCTGTGTGGCTCTGGGGCAAGACGACAGGAGGCACCCAGCTTCCGCTTGTCTTGCTGGTCACTCGGGCCAGAAGTCTGGCTAACCTGAAGCAGCCATGTGGTGGGACCAGAGCAGAGACAGAAGAGGCTCATGCTGTACCCTCGGCCCAGGAGACAGGGGTGGAGTGGGGTGAGGTGGGGGTGCCTCTTAGAGCTCAGCCCCAGCCTCCGGAGCGCTCGGACACTGAGCAGAGAGGGGCTGCCCTGCCAACTCAGCAAAACACACGTATGTGAGCAAAGCACAGGGGCTAACTTGTCTAAACAGGAGTTGGCAAGTGGTAGCCGTCAGCTCAAATGCAGTGCGCCCCCGCTCTGGAAAGTCACAGTTCCTCCGTGCACCTGTCTGTGGCCGCTGCTGTGCAACAGTGGAGCTCGGCACTAGAGCCTCAAACACCCAAACATTTACTGCTTGGACCTTTGTCGAAAAACTGCCCAAGATGTTTGCTACGTAGCTGCGGGTCATCAGGACACTCCCTTACCTCCTTTAAGTCTCTGCATGAACTCTAGGGAGACACTCTACCTTTCTATAAAGGTATCCTGGTGCTTTAATAGCTATTAAAATGTTACTTTTCCAAAGTCTTTTGTCTAAGTAGAGAAGCAATTAAAACCTTGCATCGCTGTATAGTGTGTACATTATACAGACACATTATTAGCACTAATTTTATTTGATCTCTACATTACAAAGTACCAAGAGCTGATAGCTCATTTCAAAACCTTAAATATTCATAAGTACCACATGTTGAGCAATGTATCAGGCTGGGGACTTGGCTTCATGGTGGAGCTCTTGCCTTGCATGCACAAGGCCCTGGCTTTGTTCCCCTACCACAAAAGGAAACAAAACAGAACAGAACAGAACAAAACAAAGAAACAAAGTATCATTTGGGCCCAAAATGAAAAGTGACTGCTAAGGACAGAAAGAGGAACTGTGAAGTGAGCAGAGTGCTGTGCCCTGGGGAACTGTCCCCAAGTTACTTTTGCTTCCCCTCCCTTGGGCCAGGACTCAAAATTGTGACGAAAAGTTGCACTTCAGTAGTTAAGAGTTCGCCGCTAGTCACCTTTCTTTAGGTTTACAGAACCCAAAACATCTGACGGCCCTCAGGTCAGACCAGACTATGCGCTGGCCCTCTTCATTCTGGTCTCACATCAGGTAGGGGAGCACAAAGCATGCGCACTGCTGTGAGCAGCCACATCTTGTCTGGGAGCAAGCTGAGCTGGAGCTTGAGGTTGGTTCTGATATTCTGGCAAGAGGAGATAAAATAAAACAAAACAAAAAACAAACAAGACCTGCTGGCGTGAGAAGAGTTCCCTCAGCAGGGAGCCTCCATAGCCCTCTGGCCCTGTCCTGTCCTTTCCCACACAGAGCCCCCTGAGACGGGCTTGGAGTGGGCTGGCAGCCCTTTCCTCTTTCCAGCGCTGGCGCCTGCACAGACCAGGCCTCTTTTCCATGACTCTCGGCTCCTGAG